AATCAAACTGCCCCTCTTAGTAGGTCTTTCAAACCTTTATAATTCGATCTAAAAGCGGCTACTGACTGTTGGCCAGTAGAATTGCTTTTACTTATGGTTAGTAAATGGTTTGGAGCCAACCTAGCGAAGTGTCTTGTGTTATCAGCTTTAGGTTTCAATGTTTTCGGTTGTTCTTTAAATCGGAAACTTTGAGGCCTAACCTTTAATACGAGTCAACCTCTAGGTTATAACCCTCTTTGCATTATCGCACCATATGCTGGTGTGGTATTGTGCTGAGCAGATATATCCTGGTGTAAAGTTTTTGCGTTATGCCATTATAGGGGATGATGTGGTCATTGGTGGCACTTATGTCGCCAAGTTGTATGAAGATTGTCTAAGCAATTAGGTGATGATGTGGTCATTGGTGACACTTATGTCGCCAAGTTGTATGAAGATTGTCTAAAACAATTAGGTGTTGAGATATCACGACGAAAGTCGTTGATCTCCGATACCAGTTGTTTAGAATTCGCTAAGTAGTTTTGTATTCGAAACGTGACTAAAAAAAGATATTAGTCCTGTTTCTGTACGGACCTTGCTATCGTACTCTCATCCTTATGGTCTTATAGCAATAGATGAGAAATCTTGTTTCAAACGGTTTTCTACATTATTGCGTATAGGGGGTAAGGGAGCGAAGTTGAACCATCCAACATCACGTCATGTTCTCAAGTTACTTGCCATGTTTGAGAAGTCACGGTTGGACCGTAATTCCCCTTTAGAACTATTGTTATAGAGTAGAGCACCGGAACAAATAAAGATAGACGGGCTTCTCTCTGCTTCGGATATGGATTCAGGGACCGATGGGATTGATATTCCTATCTCAGAATATGCTGTTGAAAGGTAAGCTTCGAAACTTGATCTTCCAGAAGAAAGAGGGATAGCAAGCTAAAGAGCAACTAAACAAACATCCCTGACCCCAAGAGCAGAGGACGGTGAACGAAAAAGCCTACTAGCAAGGGAGATAAATCTGCCCATCTTCTGTTCGCTCCTACCACTTCGGAGTGATTACTAGAAGTCGTTGATCGAGGAAGGCATAGGAGAATAGGTGGGATTTACGCTTAGATATGTTATTCTCTTTTAACCAGCAATCGTGCCTCTGCTAGCTAGCTCGTCATACCCTTTAGATCATTCTTGATTCTCGAGGGATCAATCTTGATTCTCAAGGGATAGTCGAGGGCCATCGGGCCGGGAGAAAGCTTTATTGACGCGGAACCTCCTATGTCTCAATCTATCTCTGGACAAGGCGCATTGGCATCGGTCAAACCTGCACCGTGAGGTGTTGTAGAGGAAAGGGATTTAGGCAGCGAACTAGATGCTCTTTCGAATGGAGGCTAGCTGCCACTAGCCCATTTGAATGGAGCGAAGGAGTGAAGAGGGAAATGTTTTCTACGTAGGGCCGGTCAAGTTGTAAAGGGGTTCGGAGATGATGTCATCTGTGTACATTTCAGCAAGTTGAGAAGAGTAGAGAGGAAGGGGTTGATAAGGTAGCAAAGTCGTTCCCAATATCTGATCCGTTGATGTCTCTTCTGAATATCTTCCATTTGGAGATCCATCCGAGGGGGCAGTGTTGAGTGGTAGCTCTTCCTATGCCTTTAAGGCAGGCAGGGCCTATCTTATTAAATTAAGCGATCTGAGCCACCTAAGGAACTAGGCAATCAATCAAATTCAAGCTCTGACCCTATTCAAAGATCAGCCCTTTGTCTCTCCATCTTTTGCTGATCCATCGAATGCTCACAGGCACTATTGATCCTATTCCATCTTCACCTCTGGCTGTTGGGCGATCCAATCGTTCTAATGTAACTGGAAGAGAGGGACGAAAGAGTGAGAAGTCATTCGATTGGGATTCATTTCACAAAGATTGTAAGCGAAGGTGTTGGCCATATGGATTATCCAACCTCTGGCTGTTGGGCCATCCAATCGATCCAATGTCTCTCTCTCTCTCATCTCCCGTCCCACCAAGTTTCCTGTTTCCCTCCATCTCTCTCACTTTTGTCCCCAAAGCTCTCTCCTAGTCTCCCCATTTTTACTCCGGCCCCATCCCACCAAGCTCTCAGCGTGGAAACCCAGTACAAAAAGTGGAAGGACGAGGGATAGATTAGAATCCGCCCTAATCTCCAACCAAAATTGGTATGAACTCTCTACTCCTTATAACATCATCAAATGACTCTCTCTCTCAAATCAAATGGCTCTCTCTCTCTCTACTCCTTATAGCATCATCAAATGGCTGTCTCTCTCAAATCAAATGGCTCTCTCTCTCTCTCTCTCTCTCTCTCTCTCTCTCTCTCTCTCAGAAAGTGAAATTTGTTTTGTAGTTCCTTTCTCACTCTCTCCCATTTTTCCTCCCTCTTTCTCTCCCTCATCCCCAATCGTAGCTAGAAAAAAAAATTCTTCAAAATAGAGAAATCTTGCTGTTGCAGTAGGGCAAAAACCCTATTTATTTTTTTTTCTGTTTCTTTTTTTGTTTCTTTCATAGATACAATAAACAATGCTCTGAAGAAATTTGTGCTATCTTAAGCCATCAATCAATTAACAATGCTCTGAAAAAATTTATACAGTAAACAATGCTCTGAAAAAATGGTGTCTCAGAGGAAAACAATACTTTGAAGAAATTTGTGCTATCTTAAGCCATCAATCAATAGCTGGCAAACTTTTGTATTTGTGGGTTTCGAAAGATTGTTTTGTCTTTTTTTTTTTTCCTGCTCTAGTATTCCCCCCCAATTAAAAAAAGAACCTGATTCAAATTCATTATTATCCAAAACCCCAAGATTATCGATTTTTCTATAAGAAAAAAAAAAAATCTTACTGTAACAGTAGGGAAAAATGCTCATCTGTTTTTTTTTTTCTTTTTTCTTAATAGATACAAATGAAAGAATTATTAATATTATAGATACTATCATCCTGTTTTTTTTTTGGTTTTGTGAAGAGTTTATGTTTTTCAAGTGCTGTGTATAATTTGAATTTTTGCTTTAGTTACATTGTGTATTTTTTTTTATCTAATAGTGCTCAAAGATTTGGAATTAAAGTCTCTTATTGTGATTAATTTTCATGCATTGGTTGTATCACTATGTTGTTATGCGATGTATAAGAAATTTTGGCTTACAGGAATGGAATAAAATGTCTTATGATTGAAAGTGAAAGTTTCCATGTCTCTTGTTGTTTTATGGCTTCCATGAATGGAATGAAGCTATCAAATTTTCCATGTTTCTTGTTGGATTAGCTTGAGGCTTGAGGAAAACAATGCTCTATGTTCAGCAATCAATCAATAGCTGATAAACTTTTGTATTATAGGTGTCCAAAGATTGTGTTTTTTTTCCTACTATAGTATTCCCTCAATTAAAAAAAGAAAATGATTCAAATCTTTTTTTTGCCTTAATAGATGCAATTGAAAGAATTATTAATATAATATATACTATCATTTTACTTTGTTTTTTTTTGTTTTTGGTTCTATGAAGAGGTTATGTTTTTCAAGTGCTGTGTAGAATTTGAATTTTTGCTTTAGTTACATTGTATATATATATTTTTGTTATCTAAATAGTGCTAAAAAATTGGGAATTAAAGTTCCTCATTGTGATTAATTTCATGTATTGGTTGTATCACTTTGTTGTTATGCGATATATAAGAAATTTTGGCTTACATGAATGGAATAAAATGTCTTATGGTTGAAAGTGAAAGTTTCCATGTTTCTTGTTGTTTTATGGCTTACAGGAATGGAATGAAAGTTATCAAAGTTTCCATTGTCGGAATAGCTCGAGGCTTTGGGGTTTGATCAACAATGAATATGGGCTTGAGGCTTTGGTATGGGTATTGGCTTGAGGCTTTAAGATTGGGTGTTTATTTTATTTTCATAAATAACCATACCAAAGCCAACCAAAGCCTCAAGCCCATATATCATTGCAATCATAAAAATAATAATATTTAGCTTCCTCTCTTTTGTTTTTTACGAAAAGATTCATGTATTATGGAGAGTTATGATGATTGAAATATTGAACTACCCCAACTTTTGGACAGCTTAATGTTTGCAAGATTGGACTGATCTAGAATTGGGGCTATTTGGTATCTAGCCAATCAGACAGCCCTAGCATTCAAACAAATTTAGAAATAAAATAAAAAACCTATATGATATTTAAGCAAAACAAAAATAAAAAATCACGAAAAGGGAAGACTTACATAAGATCAAAACAAAATTTTGAAAAAACTGCAATTTTCATAAGGCCTAGGGTTTTAAAACTTTATTCATAAATACTTCTAGCATAGATAATTGTTATGATGGCTCTAAAATCTATTTCCTTGATTAATTATGAAATTTGTAACTCAAAGAATGGCACAGATCTCGTATATCCATAAGGACATAAAAACTGACTGTCATAGATAACATGCTACAGAATACACTTCTTAGGCTCTGAAATCCTAATATTTTTTCAAACACACAATGGTCAAGATCAAGAAGATTGATTTGAAGGATTTTCGACCTTGAAACTTACAATTTTTTGTGAGATTTAAGATGAAGCTTTATTTTTATTTTTATAGGACCTAGACGTTATTTTAACTTTTTCTATGGGTAAATATTACTTGTCCGTAATTTGGAAAAATGGTTTGATTGAGCTGCACACTGTATCAAAATAAGTAGAGCTTCACTTCATAACTCATCCAACATCACAATTCAAGCATTGAAAAATCTTTACATGGATCATCTTAACCTGAATATTATGTTTATGAAAAAAAAAAAATTTCTACCTCTAAAAATAACGTATATTGTAACAAATTATCTATATTATTTATTTTACCCCAGAAAAAAATATTCACCAACATGTAAGACCAGTTCCATTTTTTTTAGTTTAAAATTTATAGTTACAGTTGGAAATTAATTTTAGGGTGATCATGGAGATTTCCTCGTACTTTCCGGACGAGTATTTAAGATGGGGCGTCTATTTTATTTTCACAAATCTTGGCCTTTCCGTAAATTTTCCTTTTCAACTTCTGTTTATTGAGGTTTTTCTTTTTTTTTTTTTCCTCTTTCAGCATTTGCCTTTCACAGATTCAAAAACCAGAATTAGAATTTGGAGAGAGAGCGAAGAGAGAGAGAGAATGGAGGGTCTGTGCTGTATTGTTACTGGGGGAAGGGGATTCGCTGCTCGGCATTTGGTTTCTATGCTTTTAGCATCCCCCAAGTGGTCTCTAGTTCAAATCGCTGATCTCCCCACTTCTATCCAATTTGATGATGGAGAAGAGGACTCAATTCTTGGCCAATCCCTGCGATCTCGAAGAGCCCTGTATGTCTCCGTGGATCTTTGTGATAAAGCCCAAGTCCTTCAAGGTACTCCCCATTTCCACTTTCAACTCCAGTTTTTTCTGTGATTTTTAAAGAATCACTGTTTTATTCGTGCTATCTCATCTCTAAGAGATCATTGTTTCTTTACTTTGGGTTCCATCAATTGGTTTCTTGATGTTTTAATAGAGCAAGTACAAAAAACATTGAGTGAATTTGGTTGATATAAATGCCTATCTGCCCTTTGTTTTGTTTTGGGTTTTTTCAGGGTCATATTTTACATTATCCATTCCTTCTTCCCCCCCTTTTTATGCGCCATGATTGCCAAAACCACTTGCATTTCGGATTTTAGGACTTGATTTATGTATCTTTTGTTTAATGGTGATAGAAAAATAACCTTTTGGATGCTTTTATCTTTTACTATTTGTTTGGAGGCTTCTTTATCACTACAAGTAGGTGGCTTGTATTGGGTTACATGATTCTTTTTCTTTTGAGTTCCTCTCTCTCTAAAAGGGGCTGGGGCTTCCTTGGGTTAGGTTGAGACAGGGAAGGAGGTAATGACGGTTTTTCTTGTCCTATTTTTGGGAGGAATGATATGAGCTTGTGTTGATCATGTTCTTGAGTCGTCCAAAGTGAAGCGGGGTAAATCGTGTTCTTTTAGATGATCACAAGGAAGGTATTTTTGGTGATGTCTTTTCATCAATTTTCTTTGTGGTAACTCTGTATCCCCTTATAAATTTCTCGTTTGATGGTGGAATACTTACCGGCTTGCCCATGGACGTAGCCCTACACGGTGAACCATGTTAAATTGGTGTTGCGGTTTGTCTCTCTAATTTTCTCTTATAATTATGTTTTCCATCTCTAATTTATTTTCTTAAATTGTTGCACACGATCCATGATCTTATTATATGATTATCGATTTTACATATTTGGTAATGAATGTGTGATTTTCGGTGATCGATAGAATTGGGGTTTCGAGAATTCGGATCTTCGACAAGTGGTATCAGAGCATTAGGTTTTGTGCAATATGTTTTGGCAAATGGCGAGTAACAGGTTTGAGGTGGAGAAATTTGATGGACAAAATGATTTTTAGATATGAAAAGTTCAAGTTCATGATCTTTTTGTCCAACAAGGATTATACAAAGCATTACTCGGAAAGGAAAAGAAGCTGGAGTCTATGAAACTTTACGATTGGGAGGAAATTGACCTCAAGGATATGGCTACAATTCAATTGTGCTTAGCAAATATGATTTTATTCAATATAGTGGGAGAGAAGACGGCAAAGGGCTTGTGGGAGAAATTGGAAAAACAAATTTCTTACGAATCGTATTCTATTAGAGAGAAAATTGTTTACTTTAAGGATAAAAGGAGGGACAAAAGTTTCCGATCATTTGAACACTTTCAATAACATAATTTGTGAACTTGATAGTGTTGATGAAAAAAATGAAAGATGAGGACAAGGCGGTAAGTTTGTTATGTACTTTATCGGAATCTTATGATAATTTAGTGACAACATTAAGTTGCATTAAAGAAGGTTCACTTGACTTATGTACGGTGACTAGTACTTTGCTTGCCCATGAATTCCGAAAAAAGGCATCTATTGGAGAACCAGAATCGAAAGTGCATTTTTCAAGGGGTCGTTCAACTGAGAGAGGTAATTCCTCTCGAAATTTTTCTAAATCTAAGTTGAAAGGTCGATCTAAGTTTAAAGGCCGAGAGCACAAGTTTGTTTTTTGGGGATGTGGTGAAGCGAGACATATGAAAAAGATTGTACAAAAGGTAAAGGACATAAGTTCGAAAAAGCAACGGAGCCAATGAGTACAAAAATGAGGTGAATCAAGTTGAAGAATATACATCCGATTTTATTGAAGAAGAGTTTTATATCGTGGGTAACAATTCTGAATTCCATCAAAATTTGATTTTGGATAGTGGTGTTACGCATCATATGTGTCCACACAAGTCGTGGTTTAGTTCATATGAACCATGTGATGGTGGTTCTGTGTTGATGGGAAACAATTCAAGGATAGAATATTTGGGATTGGCACAGTGAAATTAAGGATGTATGATGAAAGTATCCATACATTTGAGCATGTTCAACATGTACCAGACTTGAAGGAAAATTTAATTTATCTTTCTTTATTGGATTCCCATGACTATAAATTCACCGGACAAGGAGGAGTTCTCAAAGTATCTAAGGGTGCTCTTGTTGTGATCGAGGGTGTTGAGAACTTGTATAAGCTATTGGGAAGCTCCATTGTTAATGATGCGACAACTTCGGTAGTGGAGAGTAACGATCTTCCACTATGCTTATGGTATAGGAGGTTGAGCTACTTGAGTGAAAAGGGTATGGAGATTTTGATGAAGAGGAAACTAATTCCCACCATAAAATTTGGGGAATCCGAATTTTGTGAGCATTGTGTCTATGGAAAACAACAGAGACGAATTTTCAAAGTTGGAAGCCATACAAGCAAGGGAATACTTGATTATGCTCACTCAGATTTATGGAGGCCCTCATCCAGATTGTCTTATGGTGGTGCATTGTATTTTATCTCTTTTATAGATGACTATTCAAGGAAGGTATGGGTGTTCAAAGAGTGATGCCTTTCTAGCCTTTAAGCATTTTACGGCTAAAGTTGAGAAGAGTACGAGGCGTCACATCAAAACACTTCGCACCGACAATAGGAAGAATTACAATTTCGATGAGTTTACAAAATTTTGTAAAGATAAAGGAATCATGAAGCATTTCACCACGGTTTACACTCCCCAACAAAATGGTGTTGCGGAAGGATGAATCGCACTTTGATGGAGCGAGCAAGAAGCATGTTGAGCAATGCCGGATTGGAGCCAGAGTTATGGGCCGAAGCCGTGATGATGGCTTGTTATCTCATCAATCGATAGCTTTCGGCGGCTTTGAGGGAGAAGAAACCCCAAGAGGTATGGTCCGGAACTTCTTGTGATTATTTCGATTTAAAGATTTTAGGTTGTGATGCTTATGTTTTAATTCCTAGTTGCCGAAGAAATAAGCTTGAACCAAAATCAAATAAATGCATTTTTGTTGGGTATAACAAAAGTGTTAAAGGATACCGGTATGGGATCCAAGTGCTTGAAAGACAATTACAAGCCGAGATGTGCATTTTGATGAGTCATCCGTGTTGACAAGAGGTGTCATCATGAGATTCTTTTGTTTTTTTAATCTCATTTCCTAACCTCTTGTCAATACGGATGACTCATCAAAAAGCACATCTCGGCTTGTAACTATCATTCGAGCACTAGGATCCCATAACCAATATCCTTTCACACCTTTGTTATACCCAACAAAATTGTATTTTTTTTATTTTAGTTCAAGCTTATTTCCTTGGCAGCTAGGAATTAAAACATAAGCATCACAACCGAAAATCTTTAAATCGAAATAATTACAAGAGCTTCCGGACCATACCGCTTGGGGTGTTTTCTCCCCCAAAGTCGCCGAAGGTGATCGATTGATGAGATAACAAGCCATCATCACGACTTCGGCCCGTAGCTCTTGCTCCAATCCGGCATTGCTCAGCATGCTTCTTGCTCGCTCCATCAAAGTGCAATTCATCCTTTCCGCAACACCATTTTGTTGGGGAGTGTAAACCGTGGTGAAATGCTTCATGATTCCTTTATCTTTACAAAATTTTGTAAACTCATCGGAATTGTACTTCTTCCTATTGTCGGTGTGAAGTGTTTTGATGTGGCGCCTCGTACTCTTCTCAACTTCAGCCTTAAAATGCTTAAAGGTCAAAAATGCATCACTCTTTTATTTAAGAGTGAACACGCATACCATCCTTGAGAAGTCATCTATAAAAGAAATAAAATACAATGCACCACCATATGACACCCAAGAAATTGATTTTCAACCTTATGTTCCATTATCTACTGAAGCCCATTTGTCGGAAGAAGCACCCACATGTATTAATGAAGAAGTCCTTGATGAATAAGAGCAAGTTGAGAACCAAGTGATTCCCATGGAGAAGTTGCACCATCCATAACAAGAAGATCTACAAGGGTAATTCGTCCACTTGAGCGGTTTAGTGACTATGTGGATCCGAAAGTACTATATGCTTTGGTTATTATGAATGCAAAATTGAGCATTTACCAAGAAGCTATGGAAGGGGATGATTCCATATCTTGGAAGAAGGTTATGGAAGATGAAATGTTGGCTCTTCCTAAGAAAAAGACTTGGGATTTGATAGAGTTGCCAAATGGTAGAAAAGCGGTTGGTTGCAAGTGGGTGTTCAAAATCATGAAAGGGATTGATGGAAGTTTGGAAAGATATAGGGTATGGCTAGTTGCAAAGGTGCTTGCACAAAAGGAAGGTGTTGACTTTCTTGAAATATTTGCCCTGGTTGTCAAGTTAGACTCCATAACATTGGTGCTTGGGCTTGTTGTATTGCATGATTTGGAGCTTGAACAAATGGATGTAAAAACGACATTTTTACATGGTGAACTTGAAGAAGAAGTGTACATGCAACAACCGGAAGGATTTCTTAAAAAGGGAAAAGAAAGGTTAGCGTGCAAGTTGATGAAATCCTTATATGAACTCAAGCAAGCATCAAAACAATGGTACAAGACTTTTGACTTGTTTATAATTGGTCTTGGATATCATAGGAGTGATTATGACCATTGTGTTTATATGAAGTTTTTTATGGTGGTTCTTATTTAATCGTAGTTTTGTACGTTGATGATATGCTTTGGCATGCAAGGATAAGACTAGGATTGATGAGCTCAAGGCATCTTTGAGCAAGAGCTTTGAAATGAAAGATCTCGGGCTGGCAAAACAAATACTTGGAATTGGAATCCAAAGAGATTGATGGAGTGGGACTTTGTCACTTTTACAAAAGAGCTTTGTGGAAAAGATGCTTGAAAAGTTTGGCATGAGCAAGCAAAGCTGGTGAGGACTCCATTAGCTCCACATTTTAAGTTGTCTTCCAAGCAAAGTCCGAACACCGTGGAACAAAAATAGAATATGGCTAAGGTGCTTTGTGCATGTGCCGTGGAAAGCCTAATGTTTGCCATGGTGTGTACTAGACTGGACATAGCATATCCGGTTGGTGTCTTGAGTCGTTTTATAGCAAATCCCGGAAATGCTCATTGGGAAGGTGCAAAATGGGTGCTTCGTTATTTGAGAGGCACAAGCGATTATGCCATGACGTTTAGCAAAGGCTCGGGGCAGATACAAGGCTATGTTGATGCAAATTATGCCGGTGATTTTGATAGAAGAAGATCAACTACCAGCTATATTTTCAAGTTTGAAAATTGACCGGTAAGTTGGATGTCTTTAATCAACGGTGGCATTGTCCACCACCGAGGCGGAATACATGGTGGCAACTGGCGCAAGCAAAGAAGCGGTTTGGCTTCAAGGCCTTATGGGAGAATTGGGTCTCAATTCTAAGTCCATGGAAATACTTTGTGATAATATGAGTGTCATTAATTTGGCTAAGAATCCCGTTTATCACAAGAGAGGACCAAGCATATACTAATTCGATACCATTATATTCGACAAGTTGTCGAAGATGGTTTGGTTCGGTTGGTGCAAGTTGGAACTAAGGAAAACGTAGCAAATATGCTCACGAAGACAATTCCAGTAGAGAAGTTGCAATGGAGCCTAACTTCTCTAGGCTTTATGATAAAGTAAAAAAGGGATTATTAGCAAGGCAAGTATGTGATTTACTATCAAGGTGGAGATTGTTGAATGGTGACAGAAAAATCACCTTTTGGATGCTTTTGTCTTTTAGTCTTTTACCATTTGTTTGGGGGCTTTTTTGTCACTACAATTAGGTGGTTGTATGAAAGCCAAATATGGGGTTTTTTGGGTTACATGATTCTTCTTCTTTTGAGTTCTTCTCTCTCTAAAAGGGGCTAGGGCTTCCTTGGGTTAGGTTGAGAAAGAGAAGGAGGTAAATAAGGTTTTTCTTGTCCTATTTTTGAGAGAAACGGTATGAGCTTGTGTTGCTCATGTTCTTGAGTCATCCAAAGTGAAGTCGGTAAGTCGTGTTCTTTTGGATTATTACAAAGAAGGTATTTTTGGTGATTTTTTTTAATCAATTTTCTCCTTTTGAGGTAACTATGTATCCCCTTGTAAATTTCTCTTTTGATAGTAGAATACTTGCCAGCTTGCCCGTGGACGTAGCCCTACGGGGTGAACCACGTTAAATTGGTGTTCTGGTTTGTCGATCTAGTTTTCTCTCATAACAATGTTTTCCATCTCTAATTTATTTTCTTAAATTGTTGCGCACGATCCTTGAGCTTATTATACGATTATTGATTTTACATATTTGGTATTTAATGTGTGATATTCGGTGATTGATAGAATTGGGGTTTTGGCTATTCGGATCTTCAACATCTTTATTTCACATGGAGAAAAAATATATCAATTTTAGTATATTAACTGATAATTAAACAATTTACCCTTACTCCGATTGCATTTTTTTACTTCCAAACCGGAATTTTTTTTTTCATGTTTTAGTGACTCATGTTTGTAATCTGGTAAATCTCTTGGGGTTTTCCCCTTCCAAACTATCAAGCTTCTGTTGTTGTCACAGATTGTATCTTGGATTGAGAGCTTGAAAAAGAATCAATGGCTACATTGCTTTGAGGGAGACCACTTAAATTCATGGACGTCATCTTATTTAACTGACATAAAAAAAAACAATTAATCAGCTCATACATTATCATATATGTAGTGTCGACTCAATCCTACAACACTCAGTTCACGTATATTGGAGTTAATTGATTGTTTAGATTCGAGTATAACTAAATTCTCCATAGTGTCCTTTGTGCTTCTTGCTAAAAGTAACAAAGGCTATGTAATCACTCCTACACAAATCACTTCTTGTGCTCATTGCTATTTTTACATCACAAAGGTAGTCACATAATATTTGTTACTCTGGGAGGTCACATCAGAAACATGTCATTGTCACGTCATATTGTGAATCATTAGAGAGGTTTCGAGCATTTCGTTTTTCCTGTTTCCTTGCAATAAATTTGTGTAGGTCAAGCCTTCTTATGATTGGTCTGGAATAAAAATAACTAGACTCTTAAAAAGCTTTATTGTTCTATTTTCTTACTTTTTTTATGAAAATAGCTAATAAATTCGTCTACTATATTGATCTGTAATCCTAAGTTTTGATGACAGTACACGTACTTGTCTAGCTTCATTAGTTGATTTTGTTAACCCATTTTGTGGGTAGGTGAGAATATGATCTAGATTCTCTCTCAATTAGAAGTAGAGATAATGTCTGAGGCTTCCCTTTTCTTTTGGTTTGGGTTGGGCCGTAAGTATAGCACATCTGAGTCAAAACCATAGTTACCGGGATCTTTGTTGCTTGGCGATCCTTTGCAGAATCTCGATTCTCTCGATCTCAGAGCCAATACAATCTGAAACTCAATTTAGCGTTTTCAGGATTTCATTTCATCTTATAAATGAATGAGTGTCTTACAATTTAATTTCACATTCCTGAACATTGCATGATCTAGTTCCCTAGTCTTATGCTTCGTGTTCCATAGTGTATTGGTACTTAGATTCCAAAATAACAGAACACAAACATCGCACATATGGCATTCAGATCCCACCAATTTGAGATCGCAAGTGTGGAATGATGGTATATCTCTCTCTCCCCCCTTCAAGTGGTTGTAAAATCTTGATATTGGACGGTAAATTGCAAAGCCAAGGTTTGCACGTTGCTCTACCCCCCCTTCCCACACAACAACATTAATCATCACCCACTAATGTTTCATGATTTTATTATAACTTTACATCATTGTGATATTTTGTGATAATTTTACATCAATAAACAATTGCTCGCTATCCTTAATAATGAGTACTCACCTTTATTTTCTTTTTTAGAAAGCAATACTAACAACTCAATTATTCCTTGTATATGTAATGTTGATTTATGTATCATTTTTTGTTTTTGTTTAGAATAGTGTTGGTTTATATATATTTATACATAACTATTTAGAATTTCATAATTTTTTTTAGTGAAATGATCTATCTACTATATTAATATAAGGAACAATGGATTAGTTTAAAGTTCCTTACTTATTTCATAGAAGATTAGGCCTACATGTTATTGGTTAACAACGCCGGGAGCTACATTTTAAAGCCACGGATCCTTATTCCAACCTACTTGAGGAATTTGTACTCTAGAAAGTGGAGTTCGCTCCTATGAAAGTTATTCTTCTCTCCATAATGTGCTGGATCACTTTTATTGATGTGCTCCCCAAGTTAGGAAACTTAAAAAAAATGCCTTTGGGAACTTTACTTCTTACGTATAGGTCTCACATCTTTATATAATGATTCTTGGTCCTATATAACCCAAGACACATGGACCTCGACCCCTACCTTTGAGATCGTATGGGCATCGATCCCTAATACAAGGATCTTTAGAATAGCTTCGATTCGCCGATCCCGGAATCAGAACCTCAGGATTTATGCTTTACAATTTTGGACGGTGCGTGCAGTGTAATTCCCACTATTTAGCGAAAGAACGCAAATGAAGTTTCAATTTTAATATCCCAATTCGTGCTTATTGTACTGTAAAAAAGAGCACAAAGTATTATGATTATGAAAATTCATCTGGATTAGATATGCTTTACGAGCCGATTTCGATGTCCTTTCAAAATCAATCTTTGAATTCTTATAGAAATTTTAAATGTCCACAAGTGTGTATAGAAATATGCACAAACCCGTAAAGGACTATCAATTGATTTAGCAATTTATAGAAGTCTCTCAGTATTGCTGTCCTTACATTTGTATTTTCTTCTGTTCTTGCTATGACATTCCACACCTTTTAATTATCTTTGGTTTGGTTGAAATGAACTTGTTTTGTAATGCAACTGCCAACTGAAAAATAATGTCATGGCTCTCAGGGGATGAATTTTTTCCAAGATTTTAACAATGACAAAGCAAACTATGTGATTGGACCAAGAAATATATAATTTTAAGATATGTCCTGAGCGAGCATCAATTGACCAATTTACTCATCTGTCATTGGCATGAGTTGTATGCCTTTGTTGTTTTAAGAAAAGTGGGAGCTCTGGAATTTCTTTTTGCTGATTTTAATAATCATTGTGGTGTAATTAATTATGTTGATCAATGTTAGCTTATTTGGCAAATGAGTATTTATAGAGTGTTTTCTATAATGCTGCCTACAACAATTTCATGGACTCTTGTAGTTGCATCTTTTGAGACTAAAATCTACCTTGCAGCTTGTCGAGGGGCAGATGTTGTATTCCATATGGCTGCTCCGAATTCATCAATCAATAATTACCAGCTTCACTATTCGGTCAATGTTCATGGTAAAGTGCACTCAATGTCTTGATATGCTTTGCTTGTGGATATATAAAACCTATAATAATCGGTGCATCAGTACATGGCGCTCGTGAGAGAGAGAGAGAGAGAGAGAGAGAGAGAGAGAGAGAGAGTAGTCGTAGTTTCGTTACTATACGTAGGTGGTTACGTTAGTTCGTCCTTCCTTCTTGCTAGTTCGTACGTAGTAGTATGAACTTAAAAGTTTAACGTAC